GGAGGATCGGTTGAGCCCAGTAGTTTGAGATGAGTCTGAACAACATGGTGAGACCCCGTCTCTACAAAAAATTAAAAAATTAGCCAGGTGTGGTGGTGTGCACGTTTCATGTAAATAGAATCACACTATATGGGACCGTTGATATCTAGCTTCTTTCACTCAACGTAACGGTTTCGTTTTCTTCTTTTCCCTTTTTTACAAAAGTTACCTTGATCAGCATAATGTTTTTATTTGGGTTATTTGTCTTTCTATTTTTGAGATGTAAGAGTTCTCAGTTTTTATTGTGGGTTTTGTTTTTTGTTTTTTTCTTTTTCAAGATAGTCTCGCTCTTATTGCCCAGGCTGGAGTGCAATGGCACGATCTCAGCTTACTGCAACCTCCCCGTCCCGGGTTCAAGCGATTCTCCTGTCTCAGCCTCCCGAGTAGCTGGGACTACAGGCACTCACCACCACATCCAGCTAATTTTTTTGTATTTTTAGTAGAGACAGGGTTTCACTAGGTTGGCCAGGCTGGTCTCGAACTCCTGACGTCAGGTGATCCACCCACCTCGGTCTCCCAAAGTGCTGGGATTACAGGCGTGAGCCACCGTGCCTGGCCCCAAGAGTTCTTTATATATTCTGAATAGTAGTTCCTTATGAGATATATGATTTGCAAATACAGTTAGCCCTTCATATCCAGTTTCCTTACCCATGGATTCAATAAACCACTGAGTGAAAATACCTGGAACCAATAAAATAAAAATGATTCAACAATAAAAGAATACAAATAAAAATGTATAACAACTATTTATATAGCATTTATATTTCATTAGATATTATAAGTAATTTAGAGATAATTTAAAGTATATGGAGGGCCGGGCATGGTGGCTCATGTAATCTCAGCACTTTGAGAGGCCAAGGTAGGCAGATTACTTGAGGTCAGGAGTTCGTGACCAGCCCGGCCAACAAGGCAAAACCCTGTCTCTACTAAAAATACAAAAATTAGCATACGTGGTGGTGTGCACCTGTAATCCCAGCTACTACGGAGGCTGAGGCAGGAGAATTGCTTGAACCCAGGAGGCGGAGGTTGCAGTGAGCCAAGATTGCGCCACTGCACTCCAGCCTGGGTGACAGAGCGAGACCCCGTCTCAAAAAAATAAAATAAAATATAAATAAATAAATAAATAAATAAATAAATAAATAAATAAATGAAGTGCATGGAGGATGTGCATAGGCCATATGCAAATATTATGCCATTTTATATAAATGACTTGAGCATCTGAGCATTTATCCCATTCCGTGGGCATGACAGGTTTTTGTGTGAACCAGTTAAAATTTTTTTTTTACATTATACTTTATTAATTAATTTATTATTATTTTTTGAGACGGAGTTTTGCTCTGTTGCCCAGACTGGAGGCTGGAGTGCAACAACACGATCACAGCTCACTGCAACCTCCACCTCCCAGGTTCAAGCCATTTTCCTGCCTCAGGTTCCTGAGTAGCTGAGATTATAGGCATGAGCCACCACGCCCAGCTAATTTTTTTTGTATTTTCAGTAGAGACGGGGTTTCACCACGTTGGCCAGACTGGTCTCGAACTCCTGACCTCAAGTGATCCACCCGCCTTAGCCTCCCAAAGTGCTAGGATTGCAGTTGCGAGCCACTGCACCCAGCCTATACTTTATTTTTTAGAGCAGTCTTAGGTTCACAGCAAAATTGATCAGAAGGTACAGAGATTTCCCGTACACCTGCTGCTTTCATACTTGTATAGCTTCCCCTACAATCAACATCCCCCAGGTGCAAGTGCACGACAGTAGCTAGTCTGTTACAATTGATGAACTGACACTGATACATCATTATCACCCACAGTGGATAGTGGATAGTTTACATTAGGGGTCACTCTCAGTTGAACATAGGTTTTTATTTCCTTTGGGTAAACAACCAGGAGTCTTTTTTATGAGACAGGATCTCACTCTGTTTCCCAGGCTGGAGAGGAGTGCAGTGGATTGATCATAGCCCCCTGCATCCTCGACCTCCCTAGCTCAAGTAATCCTCCCAAGTCGCTGGATGCCACCATGCCTGGCTAATTTTTGTATTTTTTGTAGAGATGGGGCTTCACAATGTTGCCTAGGCTCATCTCCAACTCCTGGGCTAAAGCGATCCTCTTGCCTCGTCCTCCCAAAGTGTTGGGATTATAGGCATGAGCCACCATACCAGGCCCTGAGTCTTGTGGTAAGGTTAAGTTTAATTCTATTTAAAAAGCCCAACCAACCTATTTTCCAGAGTGTCTATACCATTTTGCATCACCATCAGCAATGTATGAGCGTTCCAGTTGCTCCATACCCTCACCAACACTTGATATTGTTTATTTTTTAAAAGTCATTCTTGAATGGCTGGGCATGGTGGTTCATGCTTGTAATCCCAGCACTTTGGGAGGCTGAGGCGGGAGGATCACGAGGTCAGGAGATCAAGACCATCCTGGCTAACACGGTGCAACCCCATCTCTACTAAAAATACAAAAAAATTAGCCAGGCTTGGTGGCCGGTGCCTGTAGTCCCAGCTTGAGTAGCTGAGATTATAGGCATGAGCCACCACGCCCAGCTAATTTTTTTTGTATTTTCAGTAGAGACGGGGTTTCACCATGTTGGCCAGACTGGTCTCGAACTCCTGACCTCAAGTGATCCACCCGCCTTAGCCTCCCAAAGTGCTAGGATTGCAGTTGCGAGCCACTGCACCCAGCCTATACTTTATTTTTTAGAGCAGTCTTAGGTTCACAGCAAAATTGATCAGAAGGTACAGAGATTTCCCGTACACCTGCTGCTTTCATACTTGTATAGCTTCCCCTACAATCAACATCCCCCAGGTGCAAGTGCACGACAGTAGCTAGTCTGTTACAATTGATGAACTGACACTGATACATCATTATCACCCACAGTGGATAGTGGATAGTTTACATTAGGGGTCACTCTCAGTTGAACATAGGTTTTTATTTCCTTTGGGTAAACAACCAGGAGTCTTTTTTATGAGACAGGATCTCACTCTGTTTCCCAGGCTGGAGAGGAGTGCAGTGGATTGATCATAGCCCCCTGCATCCTCGACCTCCCTAGCTCAAGTAATCCTCCCAAGTCGCTGGATGCCACCATGCCTGGCTAATTTTTGTATTTTTTGTAGAGATGGGGCTTCACAATGTTGCCTAGGCTCATCTCCAACTCCTGGGCTAAAGCGATCCTCTTGCCTCGTCCTCCCAAAGTGTTGGGATTATAGGCATGAGCCACCATACCAGGCCCTGAGTCTTGTGGTAAGGTTAAGTTTAATTCTATTTAAAAAGCCCAACCAACCTATTTTCCAGAGTGTCTATACCATTTTGCATCACCATCAGCAATGTATGAGCGTTCCAGTTGCTCCATACCCTCACCAACACTTGATATTGTTTATTTTTTAAAAGTCATTCTTGAATGGCTGGGCATGGTGGTTCATGCTTGTAATCCCAGCACTTTGGGAGGCTGAGGCGGGAGGATCACGAGGTCAGGAGATCAAGACCATCCTGGCTAACACGGTGCAACCCCATCTCTACTAAAAATACAAAAAAATTAGCCAGGCTTGGTGGCCGGTGCCTGTAGTCCCAGCTACTTGGGAGGCTGAGGCAAGAGAATAGCGTGAACCCGGGAGGTGGAGCTTGCAGTAAGCCAAAATTGCGCCACTGCACTCCAGCCTGGGGGACAGAGCGAAATTTGGTCTCAAAAAAAAAAAAAACACACACACACAAAAACAAAACAAACAAACAAACAAAAAATTAGCTTGGCATGGTTGTGCACACCTGTGGTCCCAGGTACCTGGGATGCTGAGGCAGGAGAATCACTTGAGCCCAGGCGGCAGAGATTGCAGTGAGCCAAGATCATGCCACTGCACTTCAACCTGGGCAACAGAGTGAGACTCTGTCTCAAAAAAATAAAACATCATAAAATAATGATAATAACATCAACGCACACCCCAGAACTTCATCTAGCTTGTTCATGTTCCCAGTGCAGTGATGCAATCACGGCTCACTACAGCCTCAAACTCCTGGGCTCAAGCAATCCTCCCACCTCAGCCTCCCGAGTAGCTGGGACCACAGGCATGAACCAACACATCCAGCTAATTTTTGTATTTTTAGTAGAGACAGGGCCTTGCCATGCTGCTCAAGCTGATCTTGAACTCCTGGCGTCAAGCGAACCTCATGCTTTGCCTCCAAAAGTGCTGGGATTGCAGGTATGAGCCACCTCACCCAACCAAAACCGTATTTTTTTTGGAGATGGAGTCTCGCTCTGTCGCCCAGGCTGGAGCGCAATGGTGTAATCTTGGCTCACTGCAACCTCCGCCTCCTGGGTTCAAGCAATTCTCCTGCCTCAGCCTCTGGAGTAGCTGGGATTACAGGCATGCACCACAATAGCAGGTTAATTTTTGTAGTTTTAGTAGAGACGGGGTTTCGCCGTGTTGGCCAGGCTGGTCTTGAACTCCTGACCTCAGGTGATCCACCTGCTTCGGCCTCCCAAAGTGCTGGGATTACAGGTATGAGCCAATTCACCCAGCCAAAATCTTTTTTTTTTTTTTTAATCTCAGATCCTGAGAATGACCATATGAGGTAGGTATAATGTAATTTTCATCTCATGAATGAGGTTCAGAGAAGTCAGGTGACTTGCCCAGGGCCACACAGCTAGTGGGCAGAGAGCTGGAATTTGAGCTGGAGTGTGCCCATAGCCCTTCCATGTACCCTGCCTGTCTCTTGAGTGTGCCCCGTAACCCCAGCCTCACCTGGTGGTGGCAGATGTGGCCTCCCCACTGAGGGCTTCTCTGTGATGTCCCACAGCCCTCATCCTCACCCATGGACACATTCAGGCTGTTGTCCAGAGAGCCTGGCTGTAATTTGAGTCTCACCAAGCAGGGGGTGATGGCGTGGGTGGGCGGGTGACAGCCAGGGCAGGGAGATTTGCCCAGACACTGGTACACAACAGCCTGGCAACCCGTGTGGCCCCGAGGAAGCTGGGAGCCTTCGGCGTGCGTCCCCGAGTCTGGGCTGTGGTTCACACCATGGGCAACAAGCAGACAGTCTTCACACACGAGCAGCTGGAAGCGTATCAGGTAGAGGGGTCAGGAGGGGTCCTCAGTGGGTTTGACAGCTTTGGTTCCGTGGTCTGGGAAGTGGGAACAGAATCCCTTCATCCGGGTGTACCGTCTGCCTGGGTTCCTGGTTCGTTCGGCTCTGTGTGTGGCAGCATTGGGCCATCTGTGTGAGTGTGGGGTTGAGGGAGGAGGCTGTGGGAGGAGGCCCCAGAGGCAGGGTTTGGGTTAAGACAACACCTCTCTCCACAGGACTGCACGTTTTTCACAAGGAAGGAGATCATGAGGTCAGTCCAGGGAGGTGGAGAGAAAAGATCTGGAAAAACAACTTTCTATTCATTGCTGGAGGATATTTGCAATTTGGGATGTGTGTGTGTGTGTGTGTGTGTGTGGTCCTCCTTCCCTCCTTCCCTCCTTCCCTCCTTCCCCCCTTCCCCCTTCCCCCCTTCCCTTCTTCTTCCCTTCTTCCCTTCTTCCTTTCTTTCCTTTCTTTCCTCTTTCCTTTCTTTCTTTTTCTTTCTTTTCTTTTCTTTCCTTCTTTCCTTCTTTATTTCTCTTTCTTTCTCTCTCTCTCTCTCTCTCTC